ACAAAAATTATTCTCTTAGCTTCGTAAAATTATGGTTAAACCACTGATGTCACATGCACTATTTTAACAATTTCCTTACTACCTTTCTGGGCCTTGAACGTGGTAGTTGCGTTGCTGTCTATGCAGGGTCAGAAAGCTCAGAATTTTCATTTTTGGGTGAACTATCCCTTTAAAACTTGCTTCCGCAGTTGTTTTAATGTATTGTACCATCTTCCGATGCAGCATGACTTCATTATTACTTAATCTTTAATGTTTTGTTTATTCTGGATGTTTTGCACAGACATAACATTATTTTCTGTACTAATTTGGAAAATGTCGGAGCAGCCAGAGCATTGCGCCACCTATAGTATTGGAGTAAATTTCCTCTTTGTTAATGCCATTGAATATTTGGTCTGCTTTTTACGTTTTGTTTTTGGTGTAAATATGCCTTAAGAAAAAAAGTGAATCATGGTAACAACTACTATTTTCCTGAAAAATTATCTAGTTTTAGCTTTAAAATATGTCAATCCTACATTAAAACAGTTGATAAATCGACTCTTACCTCTGCAGCGTTTGAAGAACTCCGTGAAGCCTGACCCAGACTGGGGCCCGGCTCTCCAGGAGCACCGCAAGGGCCGATACGCCACTACAGGCCCTGAGTCAGTGGAGGTGTGCCCTCTCAAAGAAGACCTGAAGGATGAGGGTAAAGAGAAACTCAAGGAGAAAGAGGATGAGATCGGTTTGACCATCCCAGGAAGCAACGGCTCCACATTAAACCCCTCACCAAGCGCATAGAGGAGCCCCTCCCCACCCTCCCCCCAGGACGGTTCCCATTCCCACACTGCGGGACAGGCCACTCTCGCTGGAGACCTTTACATATTGTAAGGGCTTTATGAAATCTAACCTCTAGAGAAATTGGTTGTCATCCAAAACCTTTTTCTTTTTGTTCACTTAATTTAATACTGCAGTTTTTTTTTTTTTTTTAAAGACAAGAAAAAAGACATGTTCATATACAAGAGGTGTTTGCATACACGCAGTGTGTATATAGCGCATTGTACAATATTTTCACTCTGTGTTGAGTAGTCTGGAAATGTGACTGTAGCGGCAGCAGAAGCTACAGTGGGACTTGGCTCGTGTGTATAGTGGTGGCAGTGCTGGTCAGGTTTAATAGCTGAAGACCAAATATTCTTTGTGGCAATGTTGTAATGGCACTGTTAAATGGAGTGTTAATTTCAGTTTCTGTTTTGTACCCATTTTCTTGTTTGGGGACCATCTCATTCATGAGCCAATATGGGGTTTTCAATGGCCAATGTTGGTGTCTGAGAGCAGGGTGGCTGATGGTCAGTGTAATACCAGTACATGATATAATGCATGTTAAATGACCTTTTAACACCATAATAACTCAAAATCCACCTAAAACTACAAAACAGAACGTATATTATCCATTGACTAGATTTCCAGTCAATTTTGGAGCTAACACTTTTGTTAACTGGCCAAGTAGACTGGCTGATACCGATAAATAAGCATAGACCAAGAGAATATCAAATTGATTTCCATTTAAGTGAGGGCACAAATACAAAACAAAGGATATTTGGTCTTAAGCTCTTACTGACTGAGGTATCTGGACCGAGGCATATAACTTCTCAAGCCCATTCTCAGGGTTACAAACAGGGTTGTTTTTTGCAAAACATTTTCCAACACCTTGAGATGATTTATTGCTGATGTTTGACATGTTTGACATGAAGGAGAGGGGTTTTCATGTAGGAACTTCCACATGAAATGCCAAATCTGTCTAGTCTTCCGGGCATCTCGGGCCGAGGCATCTCCTGAGCGAGGGGAGCATGTGTGCGATAACAGAAGCAGCTAGTTCCTCATTAGATTCAGTACTGTAGTATGCACACTAACCCCGCTCTACACGGAAAAAGAGGCATGTTACCAAAAACATGTGCACAGGCCTTTGTGTTCTGATTTAGTTGGTATGTTTGTGTGTATTTTTTGTTGTCTATGTGTGTTAAGAGACTTGAACTGGTGAGTATGTGTCATTTAAAGGCATCTGGCTGTGCTGAGCTGAACGGTCGTGTCATCGAACACTGAAAAAAGAGGTAACTCAAGGTTGCATGTGGAATGGCCAGAAGTAAACGTAGCATCAGTCAAAAATCACTGTGGTTAGTTAGTGAAATCGTTGGGTAAGTCAGCTTTTTTGGCCTAGTATTTTAAAACATTAAATAGACTTGCTAGACAAATAAAAGTTCAAACTATCCAATTTTTACAATAGAAACCACAGCATTTTATGGTAATGTGGTGCATTCTGTTTCGTTCTGGTTTTGTAGAGAGGGGATATACTGGTATGGAGAATTTTGGTCATATTGTTGGTATGGCTAGATGCCGCATATCATTTCATTTCAGTGATGTTTCAACGAGGCCCCTTTACTTATGATGCATACGGTTGTAGTGGAACATATACTTGGATGAAGAGTCCTGGTTACACTGTGAATTTGTCTGGGATGTCGCCTGACGCCTTTTAACAGGGAGTCTGGCTATGCAGCTGCTAATGTGCTGACGCATCACGTATTGAGACTTCTGATTAAACAGTGAATCTCTGTATATAGTCAAGACAAAATAGTTTATTTGGTATTTCTCTCCTGTGTTGTGCGAGGAGAAATGCAATATGTGACGTGCTCCTTCATTTTGAGTCGGAATGAGGCAAAGAAATGCTTTGTTGCATTAGTTTTGATAATACAAAGTTTGATAATACAAAGTCTCAGCTTTCAAATTAGCTTAATTTAATTATGAAATTCGAACGTGTCATTTTGATGTCATAAGCTATGTTTCCATCGCCCTATTTTAATGCGCATTTTGAAGTATCGCAGGAGAAACGAGTGATGGAAACGCCAAATTTCTAATAAAAACCCCTTAATTCGCAAAAAAGTTTTTACGCTCGCTTGAGGTTGTTTTTGACTTGTGCGAAAAAGGGTTAATGTGAAGAATGGGAGACGGAAATGCATTTTGCGAATAAATTCCTCCAAGCGCATCAAAAAAGTCATGTGACTGCGCTATGGGACAGCAAATCCTGACTAACCAGTGGACCGATATCATTCCACAGCATCTGAAATGTCGTTATGGTCATTCGGAAATGCCCGAGCAAAGTCTGTCATCAAAGTATTTCTGGTATAATTGCCTACCAGAAATGTCTTACATGACTGCGTTCCCAAACAGCAGCATCCGCCTCCGAAAGCAATGACCGCATTCATTGTGTTTCGTCTGTTCGCTCTGAGGCACAAGTAATTTATTATATATGAAAATTATTATATTCAGTAGCTTCTCCTACTTTTCTTAGTGATTTATATCAGGAAGTGACTGTTTTGTTCTCTTTGACTCGTTGGATGGAAACGGTGCTTGTTCGCAAATGTTTTATGCTATATTTCAATTTTGCGCATAAGTTAAATTCGCAGCTTTGGATGGAAACCCAGCTACTGATCGCTAAAGCTGCCTCAGTTTAAAGGCCGAGTGGCGCGCAAGCGAACAGATCATCTCTTTTTCTTTACTACTAGTTATAGCACAAAAAAAACAAATGAACATCAGAAGGTATTTTGAAAGATGCAGTACAACTAAATTTGTCGTCTATCATGTAATCGTGTTTCAGTTGCAGAAAGACGTGAATTAAACAGCTTGTGAACAACATTACGTGACGTTACCTTTACCTCAGGAAAGTCATTGTGTCCATTGCTAAAAAAAAGCTTAGAGAAGAGCATATTAGTAAAATCGTAAATATATGCACTGTAAACACATGTAATTGATGTCTTATTTAAAGTAAGCTTGACTAAATCTCCAGATTCTATCAAAAATGTCTGAGAATTGTTTGGAATTTAGATGTCATTTTCTCACAAGTTTTTATGACAGCACCATTTAATTAGATTTCCACAACGGATCATAAACAATTATGTTTTTGAAAGTTTTTTTATATTTGTTTGAGATCTTTGTCTGAATAAAACTCTTTGGGCCAAAATGACTTAAAATGATGGAGCAGGTCACAGATAAAGTCAGTATTCAAAAACCTGATGGCATAATAGTCTGCGTCATTGCTATTTGTACATTTTATTAATCTTTGCATGAAGGTATGATATATATATATATGTTTAAGATTTTATCCAAAAATATACAAAACACAATCTAACTTTAAGAAGTAAGGAAAAAAGAGAAGAATTAAAGTAACCCTGCTGCCTAACAGGAGGTATCAGACACTCAGGGGAGTAGTTAGAGGTTCATTGGTCTTAGCACAACCGTACCTGCAGGTCACAAACTCTAGCTTTTCCTCTGTTAGACAGTTAGTGCAGTAGATGAGAGCAGCAGTTTAGGTGACGTGAGACTAACAGCACTTTTATTTACTGGTTCACTTTAGCTGGCTACGTGCGCAGTAGCTACAGTATGATTAATCGCTGTCGGAAATGTGAATGCACAAGATTGAAGCCCTCTCAATTTTCTGATGTGTGGTCCTCAGACCTTGAACGTGGCATGAAGACCATGTGTCTGTCTCTAGATACTGCGATGTGAACAGACCTGGATTTTGACCTTGACATGCAAACTCTTTTTAACAATAGACTCGTTATGCATCAGTGCCGTTCTTGCACTGTTCCCCACCTCTCTCCGTTGTACAGTAATGTAAAAAAAGACAAAATCTCAACTGATGTGTATGTTTGTGTTTTCTGTTTTTATCAGTGTGGGTTGCTGTTGTGGGGTTTATTTGTAGTTGTTTTTACTTTTTCTTATTGTAACGTAGCTAATGTTATGTGTACAGAGTGTTCTGTGTAGTGGACGTTCAACTGCTGAGTCAAACCTAGTTCATGTTAGTGTCACTATTGATGTCGTAATTTTAATCAGTATGTAATTATCCGTTTTTGCCATTTAACAAGCAGAATCTACCTTTGTAAGAGATTTTTCCTTTTTATTTTTATAGTACTAAAACTGTATTTTACCATCAGTTGTAATCATTTTTAGCTGTTCAGTGACACTACATTTTTTCGCCCCCTAAACCTCCTCAAGCCAGCTGATCTCAAACTCATTGCCAAACTAAAGCTTTTTACTGAAACTGCTTTTTTCATCAGCATCTGGTCAAACAGAAATCGTTTATTGATGAAGAAGGACACAGTCTAAAGCCAACAATGTTATATGTTCATCTCAGTATTGTACACAAGTGTATTTGTAGTGCTGCAAACCCTTTAAGAACATTACTGTCAACCTGTGATCCAGTTTCATGTATTATGCACAATGTAAAGGAAATGGAGAAAGCAAATTTGATTACCTGGAAAGAATGTTTTAACACTTTGAATATTTTTGAAATGCATTTAAAACGATCAAAATTGAATAACGGAATTGTATTTGGGTATATTAAGAAATTTAAATGGACTTTGCTCCTAATTTGGCCTGGATATTTCTAAGTGTAAATTTAATTGTGACGGCATACACCTTAAAACAAATATTAGAATTTGGTGGAAAATATGAACACAAATACCTCTAGGTCCAAGATGGAAATATCCATTGAGCACAGGTTTATTGCTGTATTAATTAAAACTATAAACAGAATCAGCATATCTCAGTTGAAACTGAATTTTTTTGGTTAATGTCAACAGTATCATGTATTTTCATGTTGTTACGACACTTTAAAAATATGTTTGAAAGTAGCAGAAAATAATGCAAAAATTAAAACCTTTCTCTCCCATGTCCTGCATCCTAAAAGAAGCGATGTCTTTACAATAGTGTGTGTACTTCAGTGCTCATGGCAATATAAAACTGAAGTAGAATGACAAGCACAATGACGTGAGCTCAGTACTTTATCAAACATACAGTATCTAACCATGTGTCTTTTCAATTTTAGGGCCAAACAGCATTGAAATTGTCTTAGTCGTGTCAGCTGTAAACTGTTCAATTTGAAATGGTAAATAAAGTTTATTTTAAAGATCAGATTGTGGTTTGTGTTTTATCGCTGTGGGTTTTTTCCTATGTACATTGAACAGTTTAAATGTCTGACAGTGACAGTGAAGAGCAGCATACAGTGATTCTCACAGAGAACTGAGCAGTCGGTCAGGCTGAGGAAGACATAGATGTCTGCTCCCCCTCTGTCCCCTGCTGGCTGTTCTCTGCACTGCAGGAGGAGCGGGCTGGAGACAGACTAGGTCACTATTTTTAGTCACCTCCATCTTTAGGAATAAGTCTTTCACAGAACTGGATGCTTTGACTGAGGCTGCTGGAACTAGTCTGAAGGTTGAAGCCCTTAGTGAATTTGCTCTGTACTTGCACTCTTTGTCCCCTTGTTCCAAAGCAGACATAGGGATCGTGGATTGAGCACTTGAGCTCATTAGTGGCGGATCACTCCTGATGTGGTTTAGGTCTCTGGGTGGACATGGTTTCAAATAGGAAACTGTTGAGTTTAATGGTTTCGGTCCTTCCAAACAATTTGCAGAGCGAGCAGGTTTGCATGTCTCCCTATAAAAGAAAACAATATATATATATATATGTATATATAGCCTAGACATACATTTTTTTAATGTACACACACACGCACGCACACACATTCCAAAAGAGCATTGGATCAGCTACATGACTTTGCATTTTTCTCAAGACAGATACAAAGACTTATTCTAGAAAGCTGATCTGACCTTATGTGGATGTGTGGGTTTCTGGTACTCTGATTATTTGTGTTGTTGGTTATTAAACTCTGTTCGTTCAGATTCCTCTGAATGAGTCTCCGTTCTTCTTTGAGCTCTGAAAGCCAAAAGAGAAAACAAGAAATCAGTGTTAGGTAGCCTGCTTCACCACAAACCTTTTTACAATCACCTTGGGAAAAAATTCAATTCTATTAAAAAAGAAAGAGAATTCTGCTTTGTTACTTTCATTGATAAGCATTCTGGTCTGAGCAGATTGACCTTTGTAGATTGAAGATTGTAATCTTGCTTACTGAAAAACTGTGCTTATGAGTGGTTGGAAAATCATTTTTCTTTGAGATGGCATAATTACCGATTTATCTTGTTTACTTAAGTTTTTTAAAGAAAGAGTTCTTGTCTATACAATCTAAAGAAACTGCACATCACACATGGGCTGACAGTTTTTCATCAGCCAAAGGAGTTAAACAGGAAAAAGTGCTTCAGTGGTGAACCACTAGATGGTGGTGATACACAATTCAAAAGGCCACTTCACATCTGGAGAATTGTAAAGGGTTATAACAAGATGATTTAATGGTCATTATGATGTAATGTTTATTAGGAAAAATGATGCAGTAGGACGGCTCAACAAAAGAGACTGCAGGGCATAGTTGAGTATGCAGTCTTGTTTTAGTTCAGTCTGTCAGTAGGCTTTTGTCTAAAACAGAATTGCATGAAAACTCTTAATGATTAATAATCACATACCTGCTACACTGGGTTCTGGAGATACAGGTTCTGTCTGAGCACTGGCTCTCTCAGTCTCAAGGTTTTCCTGTGATAAAACACATCAAAACAAGTCAAAGGATTTCTACTCCCACCATGATACTTTCATTTTCTCCACTAAGTTTTAAGGCAGAGTTTGCTGGTTTAAAGTCTCCCAGCCTGGCCATGCTGGTGTTTAGCTGAGTCTTCTAAAACCAGTCAACAGACCACCCTGTGAGAGCAGCAAAACAGCAAACCATCTTAAGATGGTTGGTTTATTTTAAGATTTCCTTGCTACAGTGTAATTACACATTTAAGTACTGAGCATTAACTACATGTGCTTACTATATGGTACTATACTTACTATAATCTATTGTTATTATAATAGTAAGTACATGTAACGTGAAACACCTTAAAATACAGTGTTACCTTTTTTTTGTGTACACAAAAGACAAACTGCAAGTTTTTGTTGTTGTTTTAAAGAAATTAAAATTTTTATGCAGCAAGGACACATTAAATTGATCAACAGTGACAGTAAAGACTTTCTATTTATCAAAGAATCCTGAAAACATGTATCATGGATTCCAAAAAGACTAAGCAGCACAACTATTTACAACATTGATAATAATAAAAAAATAGTTTTTTTTTTCTTGAGCACAAAATAAGCATATTAGAATGATTTCTGAAGGATCATGTGATACTGAAGACTGGAGTAATGATGATGAATATTCAGCTTTGCATCACAGGAATAAATTACATTCTAAAATATATCAAAATAGAAAATATTTAAAAGTGAAATATTTCACAATATTACTTTTTACTGTATTTGTTATGAAATAAATGTAGCTTCTATTAACAAAAGAGACTTAAAGTAGAAAATCTTAGTAACTGAAGTTATCTTAGTCACAAGAAGTTTCTGTGAATTTTGATGCTTTTTTATAAAAATATAACCCGTTTATTATTATGACTGACAATTCAATCAAAATCCATTAGAATATATGGCCGAATTGCTTTACAGATAAAAAAAAAAAAGATGAATGAAATTCAGAATGGAAAAAGTGACAGATTTAGTCCGGCTTTGTCTTTCAAGCGTCATTATAATTGTGTGGTTGAAGCAGACCCAGAGCTCACACTGCACTAAATGATTTCACAGCACTGCTCCACTGAGACTGAGCTCTTAAAACTGAACTCCAAACCACATGCTTTCGCTGCAAAGCCATGGATCTCCGTTAGCCCACATGTTATATGGCAGGGAGTACTATTATTACACCAATCTGCCTGCTGCCTCGGTTTATTTCGCCTCGGAGTCTCTGCTATATCATGTAGAGTCATGCTTACTGTCCAGCACATGCATTATACTCTCATCCTTTTAAATGAAACAAAAACAAACAGAGCTCCGCTCTCTGAGGAGAGCGCCCTCACTATTCATTTTAGCCCTTGCGGTCTGTGGGCAGCGGGAGAAACCCCAGAATCCAGCTGGAAAAGAAATAGCACAGCCACAGTTATGAGGCCAGTCACTGAAATCTAAGAGCAGAGGAAGGCAGGATGCCCACTGACACACTCCCTCCACACTCAGTATGGCCAAGAGTCAGATGAGTGGATGTCTGTGGGACAGGGCTATTATCGCTAGGGGCGTAGTTTGTGGGGGGGATATAACCCCCCCAATAACCAAATCTAGCAAGTACAACCCCCCCATTATTTATACCATGGTTAATGGAAACCTAGAATCAGGCTATTAATTCATTATTTGAATCACGCCTTCGGCGCTTTTATAAGCGATAACCTTACTTACGAACCGAACACAGCAGTTCATAAACCTTATGAATGAGCATGACCCGGGACTCTACTAAAACAGTTCACACTTCAACTCCCGCAATGTTCAGACCAAAACTACGCCCTTGATTATCGCTAACTAAAATTAAAAAAAAAAAAAAATGACTTGAAATAAACACAAATGGTAACACTTTAGAATTGGGACCAATTCTCACTATTTGCTTATTAGCATTAAGATAATATTAAGATATTGGCTGTTTATTAGTACTTATAAAGCACATATTCTGCATGACCACATTCTACATCCCTAATTCTACCCAATACCTACATTTAACAACTACCTTACTATTAATAAACAGCAAATTAGGAGTTTATTGAGGCAAAAGTCATATAGTTAATGGTTTGTTAATAGCAACAATTGGACCTTAAATAAAAATTATTTCAGGTATAGTTGCCAAGGCATTTGATATTGAAGTACTTAAATGACTGAAACTAAATAAACCAACTTTAATTGAATAAAAACCACATATAAAAATGACCAAAACACAACAAAAAGACAAACTTTACAACTTCAAAAAACGTTTCTTTAAACAGAAAATAGAAAAACTCAAAATATTAACAAAAACTCTCTCATCAACACTGCTGTGGTAAATATGTAAATATTTCAAATTAAAACAAATTAAATTCATGATTTCATAAAGTTTTTCAGAGTTTACACCTAGTATAAGCAATGCATTGATCATTTTTACGTTAATTTTCCAGTCATTCATGATTATGTTTAATAATAATTTTACTCAAAATTGAACAAAAATATTTTAGAGCCTGACATTTAAAAAAAAAATCACGAGGTCTAAAGGGGGTCTACACATGAAAAATAGCCTTTTTGGCTAATTCTGGCACAGCCATGCTTATTAATGTGCATTGCCACTATAAACAAATAAACTAAACTAAACTAATGATTTAATTTCCATGACTTTTCCAGGTCTATCACACTTTCAAAATTCCCACATTTTTCCAAGACTATGGAAACACTGGTCTAGTGGTTCTTGTTGCAGGAAGACATTGTGAATTAGAAATATGATGTTAGTTTACGTCTTGATTTTTGGCTTATTTTAAAGCTGTTTTATTATTTTAAACAATTTAAAGCCATCCCGTGGCCCCATCTGTGCTGCGACCCCAGTGGGCCCCTGGTTGAAAAAAACTGGTCTAAATCAAACATTAAATTCTTGGCTGACACAAATATTCTGATTAACAGAGTTCAGATTAAACTGACTTCTCCCCAAAGACTATGTACGCCAGAGAATCTGTTTCATTTCTTCAGCATCAAATGTAATGGTAAATGTAACAGTACACATTCCAGTCCAGAGGGAACACTATGCCCTGGTTTTGCACTGTCAATAATGTGCCTGTCGATTTAGGTGAACTTCAAGAGCAGCGCAGTTTGATGAGACAAGTCATTTGTCTGTCCACCTCAAACGTGAAACTGCTGTGGGACATGACGTAATCACAGCCAATCAGAACATATGTGATGCTTAACGTGTAGCAGGATGAGATTTCACAGTGGGTGGTAGACTGGATTTGTACCGCATGTCAACTGTACGTGTCCAGTCGTCTGGATAGAATGCTTCAAATAGTGTGTTAAACAAAAACTAATCGTGCTCTCGTTTGCTTGGCATCTGTGGCTGAGCTCTGCACTTTTACAGAAGAGAAACTGAAGTTATGATGACGTGGTTCAGTAGAAACCTGAAGCTACTCTGACTGATTGAGAGGAGATCAGTGTTTGGCTGCATAGATGGAAAGCTTCCTGCACCAATCAGCTCTATCTTAAGGAGCTAGTTTAACATACGAGTTTCCAGATATACTAGAAATGCTCTGTGATCCATTATGAAAAACATGTATGATGGTATAGCTGATGCATGATTATCCATTTGCCAGCTGCATGTGTAACACATCAAAAGAAACAACTGTTCTTTACTTCACACGTTACATTAGTGTTCATAATGTGCAATTATAGAAGTACTTAGTGGTTCTGTACATAACTACACATTGTTATTAGTAGATATTTTCATTGTCATTGCTAAGCATAGAATTGCTTATTATTGTTCATATTTAGGCTCAGAGACCTGGATAAATTCTCTAATATTATAATAAACTCAAAACAAGACAAATCATGGCACATGACTGATACCTCAAATCGTGTTGTTTGCCTAGAAATGATTGGATCATTTTGATCTGTCAGATGATAAATGGGCAAAATATTTAAAACAACAGACATACACTGAAGGATAGACCAAAGTCATATCTGGACACCAGTCATTGAGACTTGGAGGAGTGCTTTTAAAACTAAAAAATTACAAATCAGTTCAAATATTTTGAAATAATTCAAAATATCAGATGAAAAAGCTCATACGTATGAAAATTGAAAGAAAAGAACAATTAACATAAAAGAAAATAGAAAATTAGAAATAAAATACATTTAAATTGAAGTACTAAAATTACTGAAACAAAAATTGAAATTAAAGTAAGTTTAAGCTAAATAAAAAAAATAAATAAAACAAAAGCAAATAATAAAATGACTAAATCCTAAACTAAAATGAAAGATTAAATAATATGAAAAAAAAAAAGCTAATTCAAAATATTATCAAAAACTATAATAGTATATAAATAATACTACAAAACACTGACCCTAGCAACCAATAACAACACTGTAGCATCATGGCAGTGATTTTTGCACTCACCAAATAAAAATACAGTTGAGATTACTATAGTAGGAAATGACACTAACTTGGACACTGTAATGTAAAGTGCTACATTTTTTCTCTTAATTAAAATATAAGGGCAGCTCTCTCATTCCCAAAGGCAGAAACGTAAGGAGAGTCAATATACAAATTTGCTCTGCATTTTTCAGTTGCACCAAGCTGAGATAATTGAAAACAATTAATAAGCAGTTTGTTTAATCAGCAAAAGCAGTTCTAGTGTTACAACAATCAGACTTGGGTTTGGAGAACTGCTGTATTAATGAACTATGATCTGCACTAGACTTATGAGGAGGAAACTTGCTTTAATATTTTGCAATACATCTTTCCCAATAAAGAAAATGGAGCAGCTCAGAAGGGAAATCTGATCATTGATCATCTAAAAAGCGATAATCTATGCAGAAACCACAAAACCCGGCCAAACTCTGTGCTCAGAGGAATTGTTTTGTTTTTTCATATTATTCTGCCTTCCCAATGCAGAATCAATAAATGCAATCAAAACCAGTATTTATTGGAAATATGAGTCCTTACCTGCAGGACCTGCACGTCTCTTTTCAGTGCTTCAGATTCTTCAGTTATGACTGACCTGTCAATCAAACAAGACCTTCTATTATAAGTCTAAATACGTAGTCTAAATCGACAGACTTTAAGTGGATTGGGAAAAATATAAACAAACAAAAAAGCCATAATTTTAAGTGGTATTAAAAATAAAATTCAAATAATTATGTTCATAATGGCAACCATAAATAACTATCTACATTCTACTCCATTATGGACTGCTATGAAATAGGGGACTGCTTCTCATTTAAGTACTTCATACAAAACATGACATCTTCAATTACACTTAAACAAGTGAAATAAGTAAAAATAGTTTTTATCTGAACTGGACACTGCACCGAGAACTCTTTTCCAGATAAGTGGGGACTGAAAATTGGCCTACTTCTCTGTTACATAACTTTTGTAGTCACTTAAACTCCCTTCACTTTTCTTTTAAGGCCAAGGAATCTTACATATGTCGGGGTCTGGTATTCATTTGCTCACAATGAGGTCTTTTGTTCTGATGGAGGGCTAGATCGGGCTGCTCGCTTCAGTTCCCCTCCCTCTATCTCAAAACCCTGCTGCCCCGCTGAGCAGGACTTACTGTTAGCATTCCTCTTGGCTGGGTGGAGAAGGAGAGGATGGGAGGTAGGGAAGAGAGAGTGGTAAAGAGTTGAGTGAGGGGTCTGAAGAGTAAAAGGGAAGAGCTCTGGAAAGTTGGACTGAAAGAGACGGGCTTAAGGACAGAGTGAGAGAGGAACTTCAAGAGGGTCTCTCTTCCCTTGTAAGATGTACTGAGGCCAGGGGCGGACTGGCCATCGGGAGCACCGGGACATTTCCCGGTGGCCTGATGGTCATTCTGGCCTGCCGGCTGCCGCTGTGCAGTCGATCAGGCTGCATTGGTAATGCAACAGACGGAGCTGCAAACATGCAGGGACAATACAAAGGTTTCTCTGCATTGCTCACAGAAGCATCACCTAACCAAGTGCACATATGGTGTTACTCACATGTCCTCAACCTTGTTCTAGCTGACACTACAGGGGTTGTTGTGGCAAGTGAGTCCCTTTTCTCACTACTGAATGACATTGCAGTGTTCATTCGTGATTCCTACAAGCGCATGAAGCTATGGGAGGAAAACAGTGAGGACAAGAGACACAGAAGGCTTGGTGTAATCAGTGAAACACGCTGGTGGGCCAAAGATGAGGCCTTGAGGAAAGTATTTGGAAGGTTTGCAAAGCCTGACCATGCACTTTACACAGATCTGGTCATCACTATGGAAAAAATTGAAAAGGATGTGACCATGAAACCTGTCATCCGAAATAAGGCCCAAGGGTACAAGGCTGCATAAATTCAAACCTTTAGTTTATATAAATAAAATTATATATATATATTTTATTTATATAAACTAAATATCTAAATATAGATAATAAATATCTATTTTGATAAAAATAGATAATAAATACATTATAACTTCATAAAATAATGTGAACTAATTAATTAACTATTTCATTAATTTCAAATGAACTAATTTTGTAGCCAATTTAAATTCAAGCATTTAAGCTTAGGACTTCAGATGAAAAGCTTTTTAAGATCAAGAGAAACTAGTTCAGTCAAGTGTGTCCAAACATTTGACTGGTAGCATATGTATGAGCTTACAAACAACCTTAAATTCAAAATGTAGACGGTGATTTTGAACCAGTAGTAGGTAATATAATCCTCGATGAAGGTGTGTGTGAGCATGAGCAGACTTGGAAAGAGGCAAAAAGCAAGGACGGTGAGGCAGTCCAACACTCTATTCTCACAACAGCATGTTTGCACAAGAAGGAGCGTGTCTGGTCTGCATCCACAGTCAGCATGAGCACATGTTGAGCAAAGAAGGGAGAATTCTGCCCTGAGGAATGTGTGTTCCACAATATTAACTTCACTGCACAACAGGATCAAACTGCAAACGGACAATCTTGCTGGCTAAAAAGTCATTACATTATGTACATGGCCTTGGGTGTAAACAAATGATTCCAATATTGTCTGCTTGATAAAAAGTAATTGCATTTGTTGTATGCATGGAATTAGGTCTGACATTTTACTGTGTTGTTCATAGTTTTCATAATAAGCTCAAAGCAATCCTCAGTTATAATAGCATTTACTCGCACTCTGGGTGACTTCCATTTCTGTGCTCTACTCACTCCAAAGGGCAGAGCACTTGAAGTGAGCTTTCTGAAGGGTGCAGTGCATATACACTACCAGTCAAACGTTTTTGAACTGTAAGGTTTTTAATGTTTTTAAAGAAGTCTCTTATGCCCACCAAGCCTGCATTTATTTGATCAAAAGTACAGCAAAAACAGTCAAGTTTTAAAATATTTGTACTATTTCAAATAACTGTTTTCTATTTGAATATATTTTCAAATGTAATTTATTCCTGTGATTTCAAAGCTGAATATTTGTCTTTGGTGTGGTAGTATAGATGGTGTATTCCTAGTGAGTTTTTGAGGGTTTATTTATTTATCCATTCATATTATGTATGGTAGTCTACCTGTTACATCAACTAACAGGGTTAGCCTACAAGTTTAGCAGTCTGGTGGACACATGAATTGGGTGGTGGTGACTGCAGCAACAGAGGTGGCCTGGGGTGGAGTCAAATTCCCGGCCTGATTTACTGTCCCAGTCCGCCACTGACTGAGGCTGTACGAAATGGTCATATTAGTAATTAAAAGCACATGGTATTTAATAAATAAATAAATACAAATAATGAATATTATTTAATATTGTTAAATACTTATTCCACAAAACGTTATTAATTTATTATAAAATGTAATACATTTTATTAAATAAAAATAAATAAATTAAAACCTTTAGTGTATTTTATATATATCCTGTGATATCAAAGCTGAATTTTCAGCATCATTACTCCAGTCACGTGATCTTTCAGAAATCATTCTATTCTGATTTGCTGCTCAACAAAACATTTACTATTATGATGTTGAAAACAGTTGAGTAGATTTTTTTCAGGTGTCTTTGATGAATAGAAAGTTCAGAAGAACAGCATTTATCTGAAATAAAAAAATCTTATGTAACATTAAAAATGTCTTTATCATCACTTTTGATCAATTTAAAGAATCTTTGCTAAATAAAAGTATGAATTTCTTTAATTTCTCCAAGCTTTTGAATGGTATAGTGTATAATGTTATAAAAGCTTTTTACTTCAGATAAATGCTGATCTTTGGATATTTCTATTCATCAAAGAATTCTGAAAAAATGTACTTAACTGTTTTAAATATTGATAATAATAATAAATAAATAATAATGTTTCTTGAAAAGCAAATCAGCATATTAGAATGATTTCCGAAGGAGCATGTGACACTGAAGACTGGAGTAATGATGCTGAAAATTTAGCTTTGATCACAGGAATAAATTACATTTTAAAATATATTCAAATAGAAAGCAGTTATTTTAAATAGTAAAAATATTTCACAATATTACTGCTTTTGCTGTATTTTGGATCAAATAAATGCAGGCTTGGCAAGCAGAAGAGAATTCTTTAAAAAACATTAAAAATCTTACTGTTCAAAATCTTTTGACTGGTAGTGTAGCAACCAAGTTCGTTTGTTTGTAAGTTTGAGGTCAGTATAATTAAAATGTAGTTGACATGTAGTTGCAAAGTTGCTTATTTTATTAACTATAAGTAACTTAAATTGCAACTACATGTCAACTACCTGTAATTCAAGTCATTAGACAAATTATTGTCTGCTCAATATTTGCAAACACTTTATTTTGATGGCCCCCATAGATAAAAATGCAAATATGTAAGGAATATTTCCCGCTGATAAAATCTGAGTAGCTGATCATTTTAAACTCCCAGGTAAGATAAAGTACTTTTTTAAATAAACCGTGAGAATGCACCACCAAAGACAACAAGACAGCAACATTACTTCCTTAAAGTGACCACTTCGTAAAGTGATTCAGTTCCTCACTTTCATGTAAAGAGACCCTTCGAATAGTGTCCCTTCCCACAGTTCCCTCAACGGTGCAAAAATGTTCAGTTACTGACTAAAGAGAGTGCATGCCCTCACCTGAGATGGGACACAACCTCATCTATATGGGTGATGTTTAACTTGTGTCTTAAGGCCTTGATTTCTTCTTCACAGCTGGAGTGAGACGAGAGGCTGGAGACTGACCTGAAGAGAGTATTAATCAATATTATCAGTATTATTCATGAAGAAGTACACTCACAGATACATATTTCTGAAACACCAACCTGCTTCTAGTCTCGCTCAGACTTGATGGGGGTCTGGAAGGTGATTTGGTTTCACACCAGCTGCCTGGACTCCCTTGTCTCTGTGTGCTACTGCTGCCCAGTGCGTAACTCACGACACTAGGACTGTACTGGGCCATGACCTCCTCTTCATCCCTGAGACACATTTACTGACAGTGAGAATGGCAGAATGGTGAAAGTGGACAGTGCCAGCACAGTTTCACTGTGATCATCTACCACAGCGACTCCCAAACAGTGACTTGCCTTGTTAAAATTATAAAACAGAAACTTTGACTTGGATTTAATTTATAAATAAATGCACTGTTAGGTCTTTTTCAAGAAACTCGTGAAAGGCAAAATAGCTCAGGTGTCTCATTATGTAGAGAAGCTATTTGGAGAGTCTCTTTCTTCATAGTATTGATTTTTGTTCTTGTTTAAGAGTGCACTAAAAATGAACAAAGATGCTGAATTATATCCAAAATAATATCAATTGAGAGGAACACATTTCTGGTTTTGTGTCAAGCTTTATTAATGGCGCTATAGGGGTGCCTTCAACACATAAATTTGGGAAACACTAACCTAGCAAGCTGGTTTTACTTACTTAAAAGACTTCAGAATTTCTTGGAAGACATAACATTATTTATTCAAGACCTCATATGTCCATTCAAAACACAGCACTAATAATACAGCAGACTGTTGTACTGTTGAGAAAGTCAAGCAATTCTTACTTGCATAATAAACTTTGGCCTCTGGCCCTTAAAATACTAACACTACAATAAATAGAACAAGTGAAAGTACTCTATTGTAAGAAAACAGTTTGGGGTACAATTTTATTTCTAAAGGAATACAAAATGATAGATATAAATAAAGAAATTTCTATTTCTCTAATATCTATCTATCTATCTATCTATATATATATATATATATATATATAATTGCCTATCACAAATATTTTTTTTATCTCAAATAGTATATATATATATATATAATTGCCTATCACAAATATAATTTTTATTATCTCAAATAAAATAATTTTTATTTTTTTATTCTCAAAAAATAATAATTTTTATTATCTCAAATAGTAAGAACAGAATGTTGATATTTTAGTGAGAAATAAATTAGCTCTCTCAGTCCTTGCAGCAATATTAAAACTCTCAGACTTACTGAGTGCATGAGAGAGAATGAAGGCACAAGTGAACACTCAACAAGGGAGCAAAGGCCTTTTATCCTCAGCCAAGTTTTCTAACCATAAATCAAGCTTGGACTAGATGTTACAGTCTACTTTGAAATGTTATTGTAAACTAAACAAAGGTTTGCATTTGGAAATGCATTAAATCAACACATCTTAATTGAAGCTTAAATGTGTTAACAATTGCAGACTGCCAGCTTCAGTTTAGCCATCATTAACCATTTCCATTCAATCCTTTATAAACAACAAGAACTTTTTAACTACTTCCTTTTAAACTATTAATACAAACATATGAGGCAGAAGAGCTATATTACAGGAAAACATCTGAATAGCCAGAAATACAACAAAGATGAGGCAAGCAGATGGTCCTTTCTCACTCGCAGTCATTATTCAGACCGTAAAGCTGTGTATCACTTTCAGCACACCCCTGCTCACATCTTTCCCGCTTTCTTCTTTAGCACTGACAGGATACAGTTTACATCTTTGTGGGACTTTTGTAGCCTGATGAAAAGATCCAGAAGACGTTAACAAGCATCTCTGACTGAATGCGTGCGATACAAGCAGAGGTCTGACGCCCATCTCTGCTCGGCTCATATAGAGGGGACGTCCTGACAGGAACAGAGGCTACATTGTGGGTCCAGATCAGTAAGCAGCTTAGCGGTGTTCACAGAGGAGGGAGGAGACCCACTCCTGCCAACAAAGATGGCACAGAGGAGCCGCCACATCAAAAAGAGGAGAAAAGAAAAATCCCTCAGTGTATCGGAGTAAAAAAAGAGGCCCTTTCAAAACCGCCCCTCCATCTGCACTGATAAATGTACCTACATGTGAAATGCGCAGTGCACACAACTTTCACACAACAATCTCTTCCCAGCCTTCCTGCGCTGATTGTTGTGGTATCACTCTCCAGAGATTTAAGAACCTTCCTTTGGTCGGCTTTTAAAGTCTCAGCCGCTCGCAGTTCACACATGAACTAAGGTTCTCTTTCAATGCCCATTGAACGGAGGAGACCTAGCATAAAGAAACAGGTGCAGCACGACTCCATACAGCCACAACAAATCACACAGACAAGGACTTAGACCACACAGGAGGGAGGGGAGGCCATCAGGCGAGAGGGGGAAAAAGTGGCGCTAACTAGATCCATTAAATCAATTCCTTTCAAAAGCTTTCTTGCCCATTAAAACAGCATTGAGTCAACGGTTTCCTGCTTTGGCCAGCATCAGGTGGCGGGAAAGCTCCAAACCTGGAGCAATATGAAAGAGAAGTAATCCAGATTTGTCCTCAAAGCAGATCAACAGCTAAATGACGTCACCCGAGAAATTTGGCAACACACAAACAAAAGCTGAAATTGAAACCAAACAAGTTTACACCCCAACGCTCATATGCAACATTTGTTTCTGAGTGACCGGAGCCAATTTGTTTCAGCAATTTGAGAACGAATTAAAGTGTTTTTTTTTTCTTTTGGACTGTACTTGCCAAACACCTGCTCCTGATAAGCCATGGCTGAAAAGAGAGCTTTTTATCTTCTAAGAGTGAAGTATAAATCGGCCCAAAAAGTGATCTACAGCCTCTGAAAAGAATAATGTAAATTGTTAACCCATTAAATCCTCGCTAATAATGTGTTCTTTGTGATACAGTGATACATTAAAAACCTTTCAAAAGAAGACCTTGTGTAGACATTCTTTTCACTGTCTAGCTGGTTGCTGAGAGAAGATCGCCTCTCCTGCCTGACTGGTACCTGTAAATATCTTCTTCCTAGTGCATTGTTATATTAGACAGGGCGCCACAAAAAGCCTGTGTTGTAACAAAGAACCCTTAGAAGGACAAGCCACTAGGCAACAAATTGAAATGTAATCATAAATTGCTACAAATTTAAAGGCAAACAGAACGTGACCTGTCAAACAAACCAAGCATATTCTTTACTGCCAACGTAACTGATTCACTTAATTTTACTAAAACAATCCTTTTGTGATGTGTTCCTATGTCTGCTCTTTATCTTTAAAAGTCAATGATTTATCAGCAAGCATTCTTTAAAGCAATGCTACTTTACAAAAGCAAAGCCGTGACCTATGATCTCACTCCCAGTCCGCTGAAAAGAATACTTGGTCTTCATTAAGGTCAGAACATTCATTCGTCAAGTGAAGGAAAGCAATAATAACATGGGATCCTTAAAGGAGACTTAACAGCTGTAGATTTTCAAATGGAATATCTCATTTGGAATCTATTGAAAATGTTCATTTTAAAAATGACTATGAGTTACAGTTAATATTATAAGTAAAATAGTTACATCAAACCATTACTGCATTGTAGTGAGGCATGATAAATTGAACAGAATCTGTTTTTTTTAATTACCCATCATCCAAAGCTCCAAAAAACTGATAATTAATTAACACTGTTGAATAATCTTTAATGAATATAAAGATTATATCTAAAAATATCCACCCAAAGTCTCACAGAGTTATAATAGTTCATGTTAATTTTAATAGATATTAATTAATGTTTGAGGCTTGATGTCTGTCGGTGTAACAGTAGAGTATTAACAGTACTGTTCTAATGCTGTATCTTCCTCACCTGCCCTGTCTGGCTGCCTTCTCCCTCAGTGTGAGCAGCAACAACTGAATCTCTGCTTTTAGCAGCTCTTTAACAGCCGGGGGGTCAGCCAGAGGGAATATGGGGGCTTCTGGCCTGCTGCCCTTCTCTGAGCAACAGAGCTCCTTCCAAATCTTCTCCCACATCTCCACCTAGAACAGGTCAGCAGAGTAAAGTGTTACAGGAGAACGCTGTTTGGCTCAGCTTTGTATGAAATGCACTTTCCAAAATCCCTGTTACAAGCTGCTCTACAACTAGAGAAATGCAGCCAGTTGGTTAACATCCCATCACACGTGTCTCTAATCTCTGCTGAGTTGAAGAGAAATGTGCGCAAGAAACTGGAAATTTGAGGGAAAATCCATGTGTTATTCTCACAAATGCCCCACGCGAGGTGAAAAGCCAGAGAGGGAAATGAAAGCCTGTCACAGCCCTGGCAAACAATGTCTGCACTCTATTACCAATCTCCACTCCTGTCTTGGGAATTTCAAGTTTCCCTCGGACTCTGAAAATTCCCTTCAAAGCTTGTCGAAGGCAATGCAAGGCAGAGTAAAACCAGCTCCCTGAGTATTTGATCCTGCTCTGCCTGCATGAAACCAACTTCAAGCCTAAGTAACTCTGCTGAACACAGGCCAGCTTCTTCTTATTTCCACTGCAGCTTCTGCAGAACCAGGTTTGATGTGCAGAGCCACCAGAGAAACATTTCTGTGAGGATGCAGGCTTAAAAATGTAGGTGACCTAATGCAAACTTTGATACAAAAGAACATTTTTTCTTTTCTTGTTTATTCACTTTCATATTTTTATTGAATAAATGTTCTCAAGGATAAGCTCTGAGGCAAAAGAGAGACAGGGAGGGAGGAAAACTGACAGAGAAACAAGATTCTTAGTTTTGTTCTTTATTTGCGTCATATTAATTATAAACATTACTGGAATTCAAAAAAGGTTGCACTGAGAAAAATATAAAAACTGTATATTTTTACCGCCAGAATTACTGACAAGGTACGAAGCCCTTGGTTGCATTTGCTCAGACAATTCATTATCATGATCACTATTATTATTATTATTTGTGTTGATTTTTTAGCTTCAACACATTCAGAAGTCCTTATCTGGTGTGTCCATATGAACAGCAGAGGGGGTTTTAAACAGATGGTCATAAATCCTATTTAGTGTTTAGAGGAAGGAGGAATCACATACGTCTTTCAAAGACAAGTTTCCACCCACTATTTCCATATGCACATATCGCTGTGTGCATATAGTGAGAGCCTATGCAGTTTGTAAAAGAAAATTTATCTTCGAAAGAGTCGGATCTGAAACAAGTAAGGTTTGCATTCCATGCACTTAGGATCTGCGAGCTAATGCACTCTTGGGAGCTGTAATTCAAAACCGGTTTAAGGTTACACATCAGTGCATACTAGCTTACTTGCTCATGGAGACTTTTTCTAATTCAGTGCATAAAATTATAAAACACAAATGCATATGAATGCAGAGCACAAAACTGTATGGGCCTAACATTATCTAAAAAAAAGTATAGACTTACAAAGCACAAATGTTTAAAAGATTAAAAAAGCCAAACCCTAATCTAACTTAAACAAATAAATATATGCAGTCACCACCTCCAGGGATGTTTCCACTTGCCTTTCAAAAGGCAAATATAGGGACTGTATTAAACATCAAAAGGAGATGACATGAATTATGTAGTCTGGACCTTGCAGTTATTTTTTAAATTGTATGCCTACCATATATGTACTTTCAGCAAGTACTTGTTTTGTCTTGCCAGACAGTCTGATGCATAAATATGACTTACTTACCTCTGAATATAACTCTGCGTACGTATCAATCAGTGTTTCTCCCAGTACAGCTCGGATCTCAGGAAGCTCAGACGAGGAAACATTGTCCTTCACTAAATTCCACACAGATTGTTGGCGTTGGAAATTGTCCATGAGGCCTCTATTTCCTGAGCTGAGCACAAAAGCTCATCACTGGCGTGCATTCGGTTTGTCCATACTGGAGGGAACCTAGCTGGAAATAAATACATGATAACACTTTATTTTAGGGTGTTCTTGTTACGCATGTTACATGTACTAACTAAGTTATTCTAAAAACAATAAATTATGCATAATTACATGCAAGTAACCCTAAACCAAGCCCTAATCCTAACCGTAAGCATATAGTAAGTAGCCTACATGTAGGCCTAGTTAATTAATATTACTCAGTACTTAAATGTATAATTACACTGTAACAAGGACACCTTAAAATAAAGTGTAACCATATACATAACATATATAAATATAGTCCTACATACGTTAAAAAAACTCATACAGTATTCAAATGCTCTGATACACTGTACGAAGGGAAAGAGCATGATAAATAAATATAATTCGTAAACAATTATGACCTGATTAAAGAACATTTGCAATAAAACGTTTAACAGATATTTGGATGCTTTAAACCATTAGGACAATGAAACAAGGTGATTTGAGTAAGATTTAAGATGGCATACATTTGTGCAAGCATATACAGTAGTTTTAGAACAAGCATATTCACCACAGGCGGATACTCACCCAAACAATCGTAGCTTCCTGTATCAGCGTAAACATTCCTGTTCCTATGGAGACGAGCTCGCGCACTCAAATGATTGGCTGCAGCACCCGTAATAGTGATCTTAATTAACCCATTCAGACCCCCTCTACTACATTAAAAAATCAACACGTCACTTATTTCCCCCCCAGTGATTGGATTCTATTAAAATGTAATATTTGTTGGAGCTTTATGCCTGAATGTACAAGGATTTTGCATTAACTTGAAAAAGTTTTTCATAATAGCCTATACAAGTTTTACACACGTCCATTGCGATTGACGTGCTTATTCTTTTTTTCTCTTTTTCTTTTTTATTTATTACCATTAAAGAAATAAAGTATATATTTGGTGTTTCTGGAACACGATGGTCTGAATGTTATTTCCCTGTCTAATAGCAAAAAGATGGAACAATGAACAGTGTTAAATGGCATATTATGGTTTTACTATTTTTTCTTCTTCTTTCTCAATAGACACACAAAGCTGCAATGAAAGCGAATGCCTCATAAAACTACACCCTATCAATATTCTGGAATTCGGCTGTCACGTGTAAATTGAAACATAACCCAGGAGGCGTAAAACTTTCCCTGTGCGCAACAGCCTCCAAAGCGCACACAGTCCATTCTGACCATGAAAGGATTTTTAAACTTTATGTAGTTTAGTTAAATAGCAAGTTTTTAAACATAACAGTCTTTCTTATTTATGCTGCATTTGCAAGGCTTGGTTTGGGACTGATAAGTTTTTGGTGATGGGCATGGCTGTACGCTGGGGTTCCCCGGTGAGTTTTCTTCATGTCTGGCTTACCCTGGTGATCTGCGGCGAGTGTGCTTTGGCCTTTTCGGTCGCTGGACAACAGGAGACGGTCTGTGAGGCGAACGGTAGTGTTTATTATGTAGGCGAATGGTACTTTTTAGACTCGGATCATTGTACCCAGTGCGAATGTACAGCAGAAGGGTCTGCTTGCGCGCGGACCGAGTGCACATCCCTGCCTGCCGCCTGCATCCATGTCAGCCATTACCCGACAGACTGCTGCCCCAGATGCGAGAAGATCGGATGCGAGTACGGCGGAGAAGTCTACGAACTGGGCCAACAATTTCAGGTAAAGTCCCACGTGTCTGTAAAGAGTCTACATATGTCCACAGAAAGAAAGAAAGACATTTTTACATTTCTAACTGGGCATTAGGTCTGAATGTTCTCTGGTTTTATATTTGTAGTTTTAATTGCTCTCCTAAATAATTGAACCCATAACTTTTTGTCACATTGCTTGCAGTTTAAACACTTGTAATACATTAATGTTGATGTGAAATTTGACATAACGGTGACAAAATAAATCTATTTATTCAGAGAATAGCTTAATGTTATTTATACGTATTTCTATTCGCAATAACTGATTAAAAGATGAGTGAACATGCCCTTTTTTCTTTTCAAGGTTTGTTACTAATTCCATAGGCTTTCGTTTCAGTTGTGTCATGTTTTGCCTAGGTGGTGACATTGTTTCAAAGTTTTGGTATTGGTCCCAAAAGAACAATTCAAAATATTTAGCGCCATCACGTGGTTGATGTTAAAATGAATTACGTCTCCATTAGTGGTGGAGATTTTCTACATTTTTGGGCAGGTTACATCTTAATGCCAGTAGGTGGCAACACGTGCTTGTGTAACGAGTGAGAGTGTCATTAAATAGTTCACTGAACCGATTCGTTAAAACACTGAATCAACCAAAATAGGCCTTATTATCCTTTATGGTTGTATCTTCATAAACAAGGATCTGCTGAGCAAATCTGTAGGCATGCAAATTTGGAGTCTCAACTGACTCTCGTTCATATTCAAAACAGCACTTTGTTTAGTGAAAAGGTGTTTTTGTGCAATAGGTCCAGCTCCTGGGGTCCAACTAATGAAATGCTTCTTAACAGCTCACAAACCAATGCTGTTTGCTAATGCATTAACCAAACTCTGAATACAGAAAAGCATGTCATGCATTTCAAAAGAGAGTATGATTTGTTCATGAAAAAGATTAAAAACAGCACTACAGTAATCTTTGTTCATAGGAACGGGTATTGAGTAATACAGCAAAACTAGTCTTAACTTGTCAAGTTGTTGACTGTTTATTACTTGCAATCCACATAGATTACAATGTGAGAATTGGGGGACAATCAATTCAAATGGTTCAAACATACCATAACAAAAACTTTATCATGGTAAGCAAACAAATAAGATAGGCTACATCAATGATACATAAAGACTTAGATTCCAATTATAGGTTGAATGTACCTTTTTGTTGAGCTGGAACAAAAGCAGCTCTTGCTTCTGTAGCATAATTGTTTAATATGATCAAATACCTTCCATACCCTTTCATGAACATAGTTATGCACTGTGTAAGTTAAAAGCTAATACAGTCAGATTCTTTTGTTCTGAGGCAAGGTGAAGCACAAATCTGATGTACACTGGGCTGAAATCATAAAGAGCAATTTAATACTCTGTTTGAGGAACTGAAGAATGAAATATCTCTGGTGGCACAGGCTTGGAAGAAGCAGGGCTTATATGTGCTTCATTATCTCCCTGATTTGGTTATTATGGCTAATGGGGAACCCCTGAGGGGAAAATTGAAGCCTTCTGACAGACTCCAAGGAATACACTTTGCCTGAGCTAACATCATTTTCATCCAGTCCATTTAACCCAACCTCCAGTACTGAGCCACAGGTGGTAATGTGGCACCTACTTAAACAGCAGTGTGGGAGTGGAATTTGATCACATTCTTCACATTGTAGGGCATTAAGACGCAGTGCTGGATTGGCACAACAAATATTGTCGGTATATACAAGCTGGCAATTTGATAGTCCCGCTGGTTCTGTTTAAAAAGCCGTTCAAAGGAATAGAATAATACATGTGTTTTGATGGAATTGCATCATATGATAACCTATTTTCAACTGATGTTTTGCATTTGATTTACAGCCGTCAGCGTGTGAGCAGTGCACCTGTCACAGCGACGGCATCGCCCGCTGTCAGGTCGCAGACTGTGCCCCTCCACCATGTGTTAACCCAGTCTATCAGAAAGGGAAATGCTGCCCTCAGTGCAAGGATGGTAAGGTTTTCAGAAGTGAAAAAGAAAACAGTGCCATATTTGTAAGGCTTATTACACTTCTATTTACTGTAATTGCCCAAGTCTAGACTAACGCAGTATGACATTCTCATAGCCTCAACACATGCATGCAGGATACAATTGTGTTTGGTCTTCGGTAATGATTCTGCATGTAATATCTTTATATAATTAATTCAATAACAGATGGGAAGGTTCAGATGCCGGGCCATGTGCTAGGCCAGTTTCTGCACCTGAAATAAGATAACGCTCCTTATGAGTTGAGCTTCTTCCGTATTGTTTTCTCTGTATACTGTGAAGTATGAAGGTAACTATAGTGTTTACTGAGAGCAAAGATAAGGCAGGCATGTAGGCAGCCAAAACAACACAGATAAATCAAAGCATATACTTCACCAATGTGATAAATGGCCAGTTCCTCAAATGATGTTGCATTTTTGTCGATAAAAATGGCCTCTGTGGGGGAAAATGTTAAATGAAGTTTTCTGTTAATCTAAAGTAACTTCCAAATTAAAGTAAAACCTTATCTTAAACGTTAAACACTCTAAAAAAGCAATGTGCCTTTATCTACACTCCAAGGTTTCCTAATCAGTGGCACTTGCTGAGGTTTTTCAAAAACTCCTGACCTTAAGTATTTCAATTCTGCACATAACTTGTCCAGCACAGTTTGTGCTAAGGACATGGATGACTCCTGAAGTTGTGCAGGCTTTTGAGGACAGTGTTCCGCTACTTTTCTAAGCATCTGAATGTAGAGTTACAAGAGAGAAAAAATCCAGAATTATAGAGACTTGAGAGGCTTTTCTGACTTGGACTAGTAAGTAACCACTTAGCAACACCCAGAAAACCATTGCAATAGAGTAAGAAAAAGCTCCAAACCACCTTCGCAATCACATAGCAAAACTTGAGTTCAGTGGTTCTCTACTGGGGGCCTCAGCAAACATTTAAAGGGCCACAGGATGACTTAAAATGATTTAAATGATAGTTGTATTAAAATAATCCAAATTATAGTTTATGTGGGGGCCTTCAAGTCAAAAAGGTACCATGGCAATGTTTTCTCCATAAATATAAGTAGTTTATTTGAAAATATTATCTCTTAAAGGTGAAGTTTTCCATTTCTGCATCTCTTGCATCACCAAATGGAACTGCAAAAACAAGGTTTTCTGGACACTGCCCCATCTGCCATTGGTTGGAAACATAGTCCCATAGCTCCGCCCCAAAACTCACACTATTGGTTGAGATACTGTTGCTATGTCTGGCTTGTCAGTATCAATACAAAGTTTTAAAGGGGTCATAGGATGCTACATGCACTTTTACAAGTTGTTTGAACTGAAATGTGTGTTGGCAGTATGTGTA